CACGATATACACCTGGTGTGAATTCGCAGGTATCTCTAACATGCTTGTCAGTTATTAATACGGTGTCCAGATACCCAAGTATTGTCGAAGTAGATTGTGTATTATTCTGGGAGAGATTGGAATCGGCAAAGCTTATTTTATAAGAGAACGGCAATAAGAGATAATAGAGGCGCATATATTTTATTGCAAATAAAATTTAATGTAGATGTAAAGTCGTCAAAAAAGAAAGGCGCTTCTTTTTTGCACCATCCTCGGCGCAATTTAATAGTAAATTTTACGAAACAATTGCGTAAATAAAATTGCAGTCATAAAATAAAATAAAATTACTAAAACAAGAACACGATTTTTCAACGTGTGAAACAATGCAATTATAAAGGCTCTTCTTATAAACAATTAAAATTTTTAAAATGATAAGACTCAAACACATTATTTTATTGTAAATAAAATATATGCGTATCATTATTTTATATGATTTTAATTTTTTCAGTCATTTATAAATATTTCGAAAACGATGTAAAATCAGCCTGACATTTCATTACAGAATGTAATTTTTAAACTCTGTATTTTTTTAAGTTGTAAATTTAATATGAGATCCAAGACAATTGCCAAATTTATTGAGCTTTAAATATTTTATTTTCTATAAAATATCTCACAATAAAATATACACCGAAAAAATTGTATTCTCAAAGTAAAAGAATTATAAAATCCTTAATAACAGATATTTTTAAGTATTTCTAGAACAACTACTATTTTTGTTAATAACAAGCAATCGTACGTTTTTTTATGCGGACCGTTCATTTAATGTTATACGGTCACATTGTTGAAGAAACGTATATATATATAACTATATAGTGTTGCAATTTACAGTAAAATGCAGTGTTTATCACTGAATGATTTTAATCTAGAAGAATTGATGAAATTAATAAACGGTTAAAAAAATATTTGAACAACTTAAGTATTCACAGTAAAAAATGTGCAATCTAAAAATTTAATTGTTCAGGACTCTCGTCTTGTGTTTCATGTTCAATCTATATAAATTTTATCTTTCTTTGTTAACATAATGTAATATAATACACTATTTTGTTAATGTAAAAATAAATCCCATTTCGTCTATGTGATTGAAGTTTGGAGCGTTCTTGGAGCGAAAATTGAAAATTTGTTAATAACAACCAGGATTATAAAAAATTCTCCTAATTATATCAAAAATATTAAATTTACGCAAAAAGAGCATTACTGATGTGCAAATATGATAAAACAATTTAAAAACATCGAAATTATCATACATGAGTGTATAAAGTGTATATTAAGCACTGTCGTTTCTATGTTTGGCGCCAAAAATTATAAGTTGGCATTCCGTGGAACCCCCTACGAGAGAATACCGTTATGCTTGTAATTTTTGGAACTAGACATCAAAACGGCCACAATAAATTTTTGTATGAATTTATGTGCGCATATATATGTAAATATCTTGTTAAACGGAACTCTTCCGGAGATTATTTTTGGACAAATTATTTTTCTATCGTAGGGGATTCCACGGAATGCCAACAATCTTATAATTTTTGGCACCAAACATAGAAACGACAGTGCTTAATTTTTATACACTCATATGTATAATTTCGATGTTTTTAAATTTAATATTTTTGATATAATTAGAAGCATTTTTATAATCCTGGTTGTTATTAACAAATTTTAAATTTTCGCTTCAAGAACGCTCCAAACTTCAATCACATTTTTAAATTAACAATAAATAAGAGAATTCTTTCGATGTCTATTTTAGAACAGGGTATTCCAAATATAAGTAAAGAAATTCTTAAATTCAGTGAAATTCAGTTAATCAACGTCAAATAAAGCACCAATTAACTTTGACAGATTCTTTTCTCGCGTGTCATACTCCGATCAATATAGCTATGCTTTTTTTATCTTTTTTGCTAAAATAATATAATAAGTACACTTTTTGTTAATGCAAAAATAAATCCCATTTCGTCTACATTTTTATAAATTAGAAAAATCTGTTACTAATCTTTCTAGTCTAAAGTACTCTAAAGATCTAATAACTTTCCTCTTTTAAACTAAAAGAATTCTTTCGATGTCTATTTTAAAATAGGACATCTAAATATAAGTACGAAATTCTTAAAATAAGAATACAATTTCTTCAGTGTTACAGTTAATCAACCTCAAATAAGACACGCGTCTGAACTAATTAATAGACTCTTTTCTCGCGTCCGAAATTGGATAAACCCTCGGTTCCTTCGAACCGACTAGATATTATCGCACTCACGCAACTCACTCATTTGAAGATTCGAGAGTTTCGGTTGCAATCCCTTTGATTTGCAGATTATAGACCAAGTTCCCGATCCTCTTTCCTCCCTGGAACTTAATGTCGTGTCCGTGTAGGAGATGTTCGAGAGAGAGAGAGAGAAAGGGACAAATCCGCTCGTTTAACTCATCGGGATTCTGTTGGCCCGGGCAATTCGACATGACACTCACGAGCGAGAGAGAGAGAGAGAGAGCTACGATCTCCCCCGGGAGTCGAACCCACGGCGATATGCAAGACCGATATCCGGTGACCCGCGTGCGTGGAACGTCGACCATCCGAATAACTATACGCGCGTGGATACGCGCATTAACGGCGCCGGCAATTAAGGTAATGGCCGGATAATCGTCACGCTCGATTGCAAGAGAAATTTTCGAGTATTCGAAGCGTGCGCTTCGGACGAGAGTTCGCACATTATTCGCGTTATTATGGAAAATCACCCCCTCTCTTTCTCTCAAGTGTCCCTATTTCAACCTAACTTAACCACGTTAGTGCTTTCATTTCAGCTACGAGCTCATCGTTATGTCATTTAGGAACGGTTGAATCGTTATTGCGTTATATCACACCCGCGTGCCTGGACGACGTGGAATTTAATACGCGCGTTTTTCATCGAGTTAGGTGGATCTATATATATATATATATATATATGTCATATCGGTGACGTGTGGTCGTGCGACAATTTTACAGTTCGTTCCGATCATAGATTGATAACCGCGATAACGTTAGAATTATTGATGTCCGTTAATGTGGATGCGAGTTCGCGCGTTGCACACGTGCAGGTGCATCTAGATAAAGCTCCATGGAGGATGTATAGTATTGCAGGTGTGAGCGCGCATTAATAGGACCAACAATTAGCTTAATCGGTCTTTATGGCCGCACCGCAGGGAGGTTTCTTAATTGCGCGACGATACTACTGCCGTAAAAAAATGTGCTATTTCGTAAAATTACAGCCACCTATCATTATTTCGATGACGATAATCTTGATGCGTCACCCATTTATGCGACGATAAAACGTTAAAATTATATACACACATAAAAAAATACAATTATTTTGCAATAATTGATTACTCTTCGATTAATCTTCTCTGTGTTATTACTATTCTCTCATATTGTGCATTAATCTAAATAAACTGATATTAATCAATCGAAACAGCGATGCAGTTAACCGTTGCGTGTGGTAATCGAAATGTTACGTTGAGTAATTAGCGGCAAGCTCAGGTGTAATTAATCAAGCGTCGTCCGCGAACAAAGCGGCGATGCATAAATTCGCGAACGAAATGATTGCAAGCGCGCCGACGTAAATATTTATTATTATGTACGTATGCATTATATACATATACAAATAAATATGCACATGCAATATATGTGGATGTGTGTATGCGCATATGTATATAAAGAATAGATTATTTCAATATTCTGCTTTAAATATTTTATTTTCTATGCCTTTTCCTTTTAGGAAAACAATGTTTCGCAAAAAAAATTTTAAGGGAATAGAAGACAGCGATATCAATTTTTTTTGCAGCTGGTATACCACTTTCAAGAAATTTAATAATTCATTATTTTATTTAAACCGATATTTATTTTTTATACATAAGTTGTAGGTCTCGTGTCGAGACAAATCTATATGTATTTTAGTTAAGGATTTTTATAATTTTTTTCGCGTTGCACAATTTTTTAATTTTGGAATATTAGAGTTTTATATTGCAAACATGTCGATATGTGTCGATAAAGACGTGAAGTCTCCCTGGAAAGATACCCGAACATATTTCTCTTCAGTCTTAAAAGTCAAACTTTTTTTTTGCGAAACATTTTTTTGTAAAAGGCAAAGAAAAAATAGATATTTGGATAAAATGGATTAAAATGTTTCACCCTATATACATACAGATAAATTCTCATATAAAATTACCGGTACGTGCGCGTATTAACATTGTAAGTACACGCAATAATAAAATCAACAATTAACAACGAGCGCAAAACTCATTATGTACTTATTAATACGTATTAGTTAGCTGACGGAAAAAGCGCGTTTGTAATAAATTAACTGTGCGAATGTGTGTTCATTTTGATTCGAAGGGAGATATTCGCGCGCGGACGTTAATTGACATAAAAAATTACACCTAAATATATTAATTTTCATTCGCGCTCTCATATTTGGCAAAAATTTGCATGCTATAATGCGCACACAAATTTTATACGGTGAATTTTAATCGAATTTCGCGATGTAACAAGGTTACACGGTAGAAGCGCACCCCCTTCTTTATTATCCAGTCCCTTCGTGAAGGGATGGCTGAACGAGAATGCACTTTTTTTTTACTATTTGGAAGGTTCGCTGCCGTCCCGGCAATTTGCGTCACTCTAAACGACAATTTGCGCGCGCGCGCGCCCGGTAACTGATTAGTCGCTTTCGCATTGATTACCGGCCGTAAACGGACCGGTACGAAATTTCGATCACGTAGGCGCGCATCTGTATGCATCCGGCCGTTTGCATATACGCGCATTAGCGGGTACGCGCCCACACCGAGCCTGGCCTTTGGGGACAATAAATAACGACGTGTGTAAATGTCACTGCGCGCGATAAGCGATAAAAATCTTGGCAATTATTCACATTAGAATTGACCTGGCAAACCTCGATGAAAAGGATTATAAAAAATTAAGAGCGCGAAAATTGCATCATTAATTTACTCACTGCATGCTGGATGTTGCGGAGCTCGCCGGGACGTCCTTCAAGATCCTTGGGCGGTGAGATGCAACACTTCATTCCATTGAACTGCGACAGAAAATTGGCGAGAAGTTGTCTTGTGCGATTTTGTACAGGGAAAATTAATGTTAAATGGAAATAGCTCGAATTATATTATATTAACATCATAACGAGGGAAGAGAGAAATGGAGATGGAGGGTAAAATCTACTTTACACATGTATTCTGGTCGAGTTAATTCGTTTTCCCGGGAAACGAGATCTTTCGACCGATATAAATCAACGTCGCTCGTGTAGTAACTTTCAAGTATCCTTCCGAGCAAAAATTATTGACAGGCGAAAGCTGCGTGTATCCCATTGGCTATATTCGAGAACCGTTCGATATATCTAGCTGTTAAACCAGGATATCTTGCAGGACGACGCGGCTGACGTGACTCTCATCGAGTTGAGTCGTCTAGGGAACTGTTAGAACACCATATTTACGACGGGGCTTATCGAACAAAATTTTTCGATATTTATTTCTCGGTATAACAGCGAGCGAGAACAAAGGTCGCATAACAATTTTATCGAATCCCTTTTTTCGCGCGGATTATCGATAAGTGCTGCTATATTTTTATCGCGACGAATATTATTACTCGTCCTCGTGGTAATCAATTATTTGATACTTTTGATATAAGGAAGGTTTTAACGGCGAAACACACACATACACGGGCGCGTATATAATAATGGATCGTGAAAACAGCTGCGCACCTCGTACTTAATAGCGACTATGCGTTAAGCCGAAAACACCATCTTCAACAGCACCCATCCTAGCTCCTATAAACCTCTAACCTTTGCCATTGTTGACGGAGAAGCGTAAACTTACTCTGGGACTCTGATGGACCACTTTTAGCAACACGGGCTGAGTAGCCACGGTGTTCTCGCAGCGTTACGTGGATAGATTGAAGGATAATGGGGATGTTAGTATATTGTAATCATCATTAACTTTTAGTAACTTTACACATTCACACATATGATAATATGCATTTTACATTCTCGTAAGATTCGTTCTATTCTATATCATTTTAAATCCATTCTATAAGTAATGAATATGAAAATATTTAATATAAAAATGATAATGGCAGATATTTATTGAACTTAAAAATCATTTGTTCACTTCTAACATTTAAATTTCAAAAATGTAATAATTAATTAATTAATTCTAATTAAAAATATATATATAGTATAATTGAATATAAATAATTTGATTTTCATATTGATAAGTTTAAACAAATTATTCAACACTAAATTAACACTTAATAGAATAATAATGATAATTAAATGTAAATATATATTTGTAAAATATTAATAAATACAATAAATATTGAAAAATAAAATAAATTTGATTGAGAATATAGTGTAATTATACTTTAAAAATTTAGGAAAATTAATTCTATATCTGTAAAGTATATATAAGTATATATTTTTTATCATAATTATATTAATTTATAAATGTAAGAAATTGTCAATAATAGTATATAAGATAAGAATATTAATTTTGGAGATTAGAGATATAATTTAAAACTAAAAATTATTTTTTTAATTAATGAAAATTATTGTGTAATAAATTAATGAATATTAAAACGTGTGGCTAAAAATTGGTAGATAATTAAGCCGTGTGAGTCTTGTTTTAATATATTACCGCATCATTATTATATTTGCATTTAACAAAATCTTACATTTTATCACTTGTGGAATATGTACTTACTATCAATTTTTTTATCGTAATACGATCTATATCTCATGTATCTCGAGAGCAAAAAAAAACAAGCTCTCTTGTTACCTTCTTTAATACAAATAAATTGGACATTTTTCTGCAAGCTGTAAATCATAAGATAAATGAATTAAATTTTGCACAAAGTTATCGGATATTTTTGTCAATATAATCCTTGTACACACACACACTGCTCGGATTACCTATCTGCCACAGTATAATTTAAATGCACCTACTTCATAATCAAATTTAATGGTGAAAGTAATGTTTTTTTTTGTTACAAAAAAGTATCGTATTTCCGATTATGTACACAAATCTATTAAATTCTGTTTCAAAAATGACATTCTTAAATAAATATAGTGCATTATTTTTGTACAAATAAATAATTATAATATACTGTTCTTTAATTATTGCCACTTGTATAATAATAAATTGGCACTGTTTTTAATAAAAAAATTTGTTTTTAAGTTATTCAGCAAATAATTATATCTTCTCGTTTATTTAAAATCATAAATATGTGCCATATTTTATGTAAAAATGCCATATATCATGTAAAAATTTCTCGACATAAAATGATTACACAAATTGCTTTTTTTCGACAGCTCAAATAAGATTACGTAGCGTAAGCTTTTAATAAAATCACATATTTCGTTTATTACTGAAGACAAATTCAATCTCATTGAGTGCTATTAGAGGTTAGTAGAACCCATATTTCTTCCGAATGATTCTTCGTTTCCCTTGCCATTTCAGTTTTAGCCGCTTATCATTTCCTTTTACTATTTCCTATCATCTACAAAACAAGAGTGATCTAAGAAGATTAGTTATAACCGCATAATAGTCGCAACACGCTTGAAATATCACATTTTTTACGAAGAATAGAATTTTATTCAGAAATAATATCCATTACTTTTCTCTGATAATTTGAATAATTTTTCGTGATATATATTTTTTAGCTTCTACATTTTTTTTAGCATATATATAATTAGAAAAAGCAAACTAATAAATATTTTTAAATAAAATTATCTATGTGAACTTTTATCTCTTTTTTTCTCAATAATTAGCAGTAAAGTTTAATTCTTATACAAAGTTTGTTGCGATAAATTTATTTATGTCGATATAAGATCCATTGAGAAAGCTTTATTTGATTATCTTTGATAAATCTAGCAGCATCAAAGTTAACAGTCTGTCAAAGCATGATTGACATTTTTTAAAAAGACGTCGATAAATATAATGTACATACTTTGTCACTTTGTTTGATAAATATAATACGTACTTTGTAATTTTATTCGCATCAAGTTTTTTTATGATATTAGATATTTCATATTTTACATCATATATAATTTACTTATTTTATTTATATATTTATATAATTTACTATTTTATTCGTATCAAGTTTTTTTATGATATTGGATATTTCATATTTTACATCATATATAATTTACTTATATTGTAGTACATATTCATTACGTTAAGATAAAATAAAATGATAAATTAATAAGATAAAAATACAAAATTAAGCAAAACAAGCAATATATGCAAATATTTTGATAAATGAGATAAATGAAGAAACGTGGAGGAGTAACGTGATGACACTGCGAGTATGCTGATAAAAAAGTTAATGTCTTCTTTTATTGGCACAAAGGAAACGTAAAGTCGGAATAGCAAAAATGATGAAAAGTATACAGAGAATAGGAAACACAAGAGGAAAAACTGTTGAAGGATTCGCTGTTCACATGGCTTTGTTCCATCGAATGGAAAGCAAACTAAAAATTCGAAGTAAAAAATTCGTTAAAAAACAATGTTCTACAAAAAGGGCAACGAGGAGGGAGTACTGAATCAATAACGATGGGATCTGATCGAGTTAAGACGGATCGTTCAATTAAGTGTATCAAATATTAAATATAAAAACTTTTGCAATTTAACATTTGCATAAAGACGAGAGCATAAAATATTCCAGCAGTAATTAATATATCATTGAACCATATATAAATAGCCTTTCTGAACTCTTTTCGCTACCAAGAACGTTTCACTTTGTTTCATAATAATATATGAAAAATTGTAATAATTATATAATGAATTTTTTTGGTACGCGTCTCTTTTGTAGAAGTCACATAAAAATGCTATAATAAAGAGATCCCAATATATTTGCGATGTCACTTTTAATCTTCGTTATCTGTCATCGGTGATGCGAGTGATATAGCGCATTGAAAACAGAGCTAGATATTAGTTTTCCCGGGATACAAAGCAAATCGAAAATCGAAATGGAGAAACACATCGGATGCCTGAACTGGCCCGGCCTGGCAGTGAAAAATAGGCGAGTTTTCTCCGCCCTCGCACATCGCATCGCGTTTGTTTTGCCTAGCACAAAGTAAACGATAACATAAATAGAAGAGTGGACAAGATAAACGAAGAAGATGAGACAGGCGAAAAAACGGCTGAAAATCGATTCACGAACAGTCGAATCGTTTCGAATCGACACAGTTCACTAGTCAGAGGAGGTCCTGATGGCTTGCTCGCTTTGACGATAGTAGTTTTCAGGAGTCGAGACCTTTCTGCTTACCGACCATGCAATCGGTCACTGACTTGGAAGAATATCGTTCATATATGTACATATATATATGTATCACACAATATATATATATAGTAATCGTATATATATCTCTTTTCAAATCCAACGCAATATTTCTTGGCCTAACCGAATAAGCTTATTGTGTGGTTCCATCATCTTCGTGAAAAAAAATTATATTATACATCTGGTGAACATATTATATAATATATTGAGATGTATAACGATGAAAATTTTATTTGCATTTGAATATTGTAAAAGATTGATACATACGGTTACGATTTTTATGAAAAAATATTCCGATGGAACAAATATTTTCCTCTTCCTCGTCCATATCTCCTTCTATCGAAATCATCTCGAGTCCAAAGAGAATTACATACATACATACATACATACATACATACATACATACATACATACATACACACACACACACACACACACACACACACACACACTTACAGAATAAAATGTGATAAATTTATGTCGCAATAAGGATTGCAATAAACTTATAGTATCTCGAGTTGTTGCTCTCTTAATGCCATGATCAGAGAAGAAATTCGAGTTATTGAACGCAATTGAAAATTTTACTCTAAGGAAAATAAAGAGGATTGCGTTAAACTCATCAATCTGTAAGCGTTTCTATATCCTTTGCAAAAAAATTAAGTTAGCAAAAAGAAGACAGTGACCTAATCATCTGATAAAAAGAAACAACTTTGCGCGAGTCTAACTAAATTGACACACCGAGTTATA